TTACGTGATCTGTCTGTTTTTTTCCTTTAATAATGTGATCAAACTGTACAGATGTCACATACACGTAGCTATGATCCAATCACAGTGCGAGCAAGACCTCCACATGCAGTCTGCCTAATCTGATACCATTCGGTTTCTGCATTCTGCACTCTTTAACATGCCTTTTGTGCATTTTTCCTTATCCAGATAAGACACCCAGATAAATCCAGGTGTAAATGGAGACTAAACCAACAAGATAAGGAGGCTAAAAAAGTTCTGCAGAGCAGCTGATTTGCTGATAGTTTCCTGTATACTCTATAGCTTCCACATTATCACATTGTCATTTATATTTTTTGGTTGATAAAAATATTGATAAATTAAGCTCTAAAAAAGACATACAGAGAAAAGGAGTCTTGGGTTTTGTCAGAAGCTGGGCTCTGAGGAGAAATACTAGCCGTCCTTTGGTTGAATAAAGAGTCGATTACAACAGAGCCCAATCAACACAGTGCATCTGATTCACACACTGACCAGAGAATAATGCAGCACGCTTGGATACTCACACAACAAATGCACGGAGAGTGTGCACATACAAATACACAAACACACACACACACACACACACACACACATGCCACCCTCTCCGGAGAGGATCGGGTTTCCTTCTGTGTCCAGTGGCTTATTAAACATTAAGCTCAACAGAAAAAGGCCTCCCCCACCTCCCCCTGCCTCCCCTCTCTCATTACAGCTGTTGAGGTATGAGACAACAGAAGCGCGGCCACAACAATGGAGCCGGAGGCCGATAGCCAATCAGCACGTACGCTGTAGCCTTCAACCCGGCGACAGCAGGTAGGCCTGAGTGGGTGAGATTAACTCTGTTTTCACTGAGCTTTTCATGTGGTGGTCAGCAGCAGTAAAGGTGAATGATATCATACTCTCTAATTCCTGCCAACAGGAGATCATTTTCGTGTACATATGTGCACGCAGAAACACACGTGCACAGATTAATAATAGGTGGAATTTTAGAATAAAATGCTATACTAAGCGAAAAACACAAATCAATGAATTCAATCACTTAAATAATCCACATTAGTTAGCCTGTTCCACGTGGGATTACAAGACACCACTACATATCAGACTTCACAAATATGACACATTAATATATACGTCTACATACTTTCAGGTAAAATGTGTTTGTGTGGAAACATTTCAAAACAACAAAAGAAAGAAGCCTAAAGTTTATCCTGATTCTGTTTCCAACTGAAAAAAATCAGTTTCATCAGACTAAACAACAATATGTGGTTCTCAGTAAAAAGGACACATGAAATAGACCTAAATACTAGAGATGAAACAATTAATCAATTAGCTGATCAACAGGAAGCTATTTGGTAACAATTCTGATAATCTGTGAATCATTTTTTAAGCAAAAATGCCCCAAATATACTGATTTTAAGCTCTAAAATGTGAATATTTGTTGAACAGATTTGAGTTTGGGATTGTTAGTCGGACAAAACAACAAGTTTAAATATATACCAGCTTTGGTTCTGGGTAATTAAAACAGGTGCTTTCTCTATTGCAGACCAAACAATTAACTGATAATGAAACATAGTTAACTGCAGCACTAGAAATCCTTTCCTTAACCTCTGTGACCCCACTGGCCCAAATGTGTATCACTACAAACTGATGCTGTGCAGCCAAATCACAAATATTAATCTTTCAACAGCGGTTTGTAAGCAATAAACTATAAACTAATAAAATAATTGCTTCCTGGAACCAGCACTGACTGTTGACTTCAGGTTGGAATTATCATCAAACATTATTATTATTATTGTGACTGTTTTAAAAGGTTTTTATGAAAGTAAAGTCTATTGTTCTGTCCTGTTCTCTCTGAGCTCTGAGGGGGTTTCTCAGCTTCTCAGGTGTTGTGGCGACACTCCCTCAAGTGTGTGTGGTTGGTAGTTTGACACCGGATACCTGACGACAAGCAAGCTGTGTGTGTGTGTGTGTGTGTGTGTGTGTGTGTGTGTGTGTGTGTGAGTGTGAGTGTGTTCACACAGGCTGAATAGAGTAAAACAGTAATCAGCTCCATGTGAGCTGAGAGCCTTTGCTTAGACAACAGTGCCACCTGCTGGCAGCATAGACATTTATTACTACAACTGATAATAACAGTAATAATAATAATAATAATAATAATAATAATGATGATGCAACTTATTTTACTTGGCACAAGTGGTAGAATGTAACTAAAGTACTCAAATACAGGTATTTACTTGAGTATTTACCATTTTGTGGTACTTTACACTTCTACTCTATTGTACTTTTAACTCCCTTTTCTCAGATTAAAATCTGACATGTACAACAGCTAATAAAGTGTGATGCTTTGTTATAGACTGAAATCTCCAACAGTACAAAGTTGGCATAATTTAGCTCCACCATTATATAATCTTAAAATGCTGCTTACATTTTAATGTTATAAGACAATATAAATCAGTATCTTTATGATACATAAAGGTTATTTTACTACTAATACTTTTAGAGTAACTATTTTGTGTGCTATTAATACTGAAAAAAACAAAAAAACCTTGATACCCCTTCCACCACTGCACAGCGCAAAAGGAGGAAAACTGTATCAAACAAACCTTAAAAAGCAGATCAGTGAGCAAAAAGCAAAATCCCTTCCTGGATTATTAAAGAAAAGTTAAATATGGAACGACAGATCACTGAAAATCATCCTGACACGATATCACAAACACTTCAGAGCTCACTGTACGACAGAGCCTCAGCTTCACTTAAAAACCCTCATCCATCATGTGACTCAGATCCTCAGAAGCTCCTTACGTGCTTTGCAGAAACCCGTCATCTCTCCCATTTCCTGTCACAGAAGTGCTCCTTCATCCCAACAGTTAAGGCAGGTATTGGTAATGCATTAGCAGGGCGCAGACAGAGTGGCAGACACTTGAATGATCTAATTACAAGTCATATTGGATTAGCGTGACTCAGAATGGGAAGAAGAGGCGAGAGGGGCCTCCTTCAGGGCCCCTCAATGTCCTCTTGAATCCCAGTTCTCTCAGAGTCTTTAGGGGGATTTTTAAGACTAACCGACTACTTTGTTTCTCTGGGGAGCAAAAGGAAAAAGTAATCTACCATTGCATCCATCAGAGAAATACTGAAATCTGTGATATAGTATGCATAATATGCTTGTATATTTTACGTGATGTTCCCGTATCGTAATGAGCTGTGCACTCAAGATCAGACAAGACGGTTCCACTGGTTCCCAACTTTTCCTAAAGGAATCTCTTTTCTAAAGTTAAATTATTTATGGGTATTTCATATTAGATGCAGAACAATAACAGTACAGAACTGATAAACTGTACAATGAACCCAAACAGTGAACTCAATAACTGCAGGAAGTTTGTGTAGAACTTTGAGCTGATTATTTCCTGTGAATATTGATCAGAGATTAGTTTGCCTGATATTTTTTATGAACTTTTAAAGTAGTTCTCTGTCTGCATTATGTTTATTTAATTTTTTACCAATCTTTCATTCTTTACTCTTTTTGGACGCTTGGCCATTGTTCTATTAGCACTTTGGTTGTTGTAACTCTTAACTACTTTTCCAATGCAGGACCAAGCGGTTTATCAGAGAGTGAAGGCTGAACTTGTGTTCAGGTCATCAAAGTTTAGATCTTAAATAAACATCTAAACTTTAATTTCATTTAATTTTCTTCACAAAAAAATGAACAAAATGCTGAGACAGAGGCCTACTTTGTATAATCTTAAAATTTTCTTACACCCCTTAAAATCAAGACCCACCAGTTGGCAACCACTGCCATAGACTGGATAATTACAAAGTAATTATTGTATTGTAAAACATGTTGCAGGTATAATGATAACTTCTATCACAATCTACTAAGTAAAGTATCAATAATCTATCAAATATATAACATTACATACATCTATTACAGGGCTGCCTAAAGTGATGGCTCAGTGAATATAACTTGTGTTCAGGTCTTCAGAGTTTAGATCTTAAATAAACATCTAAAGTTTAAAAAGTATAATTTCATTAAGACACACAGGACTTATACTGCTTCATAATTGTTTGAACTAATGCAAACAGTTTGTCAGAAGCCTTTAAAATGCAGTCTGAGCTGTAGAAATCTGTCCCTACACTCTGAAAACTCTGTTAGACCTGGAGCAGGTTTACTTCAGATAGGGTGACCTCTAGTGGAGATTGTACAGGACACAGCAGCTGGGTGCACACTGAACCAACAGTGCAGTTTAAATCACAGCAGTGGGCTTAAGAATCAATGTAATTTTCACATGAAATAGTAAACACAGGTGTTACCAGTGATAATAATTAAGGTTCAGTTCCAGTTAGTGCAGCAGAGCCTTTTCCAGTGAGCCAACATGCACAACAGCAGCACCCTGATGTGAACCTTAATTAGTATCATTGGTAACCTCTGTGTTTACCCAGGGCTTCATTATTTTAAATCAACTTTATCCTGTAGAGCAGTTGTATTTAATGTTACAGTGGTGTAAATTGTGGATTATAGTAGATTATTGATTCCATTTATCATCTCACACTGTTGGACATTTATGTATTTTTTGTTCTGTGATCATATTTTGTGTACCTGCCCATGGACAACAGGTGTAAATTAATGAGTGTGCAAAAATAAACAGAATAAGTAAAGGGATGCGGTGTAACAGTCATCATTTTGTCTTCCATAAATGTAGAACTCAAGACTTTAGTGTCCACATGTACCGTAAGTTATTCTCAGTTTAAGCATTTCAAATACTGAAAAATAAAATTTCTCATTGATATTTCTATATTCTTAAATTTAAAAATGACCTCTGTATACTCTGTTTCTTTAGCTAGCATAATGGACTGCTTACACAGCAGACATTTTGACCACAGGTGGTCTTAATTACTTTAGATAGATAGATAGATAGATGAGAAGAAGAAGAAAAGAAGATAGATAGATAGATAGAAGATAGATAGATAGAAGATAGAAGAAGATAGATAGATAGATAAGAGGTTTTATTTGTCACATGCACAGTTATACATAGTACAATGCACAGTGAAATGCATTCTTTGTACCTGCAGCCAGTAGTAAAGAAAAACAAAATACTACTACAGTAAAACAGTAGTGATTGCACATAACACACAATGTAAACAATATAAGTGTAAATATAAAACTAAGAAAAAAATAAAATAAAATATACATTCTATTTAAATGACAGTGATAGAAATTAGCCTTGGTTCCTTATATGAAACTATTCCTTCACGATCATTTAACATATGATCTACCCCGTTTATTCATTTATTCACCTAGTTATTTTTAATTATTTAATAATCTTGTTTCATGTTTGTTACCGTTTATTGTACTGTTTGTGTCTCTGATTTTGCTCTGATTGTGTGGAGCTGCTTTTTTTGCTTGATTAAAATAAAATACTAGAAAAGAAATTATACAAACTCTTATAAAATCTGTATTTACTTCAGTTCAGTTTCAGTATTTCAGTTCATCCACACAGAGGCGCAATAATCCCATTTTCCCCACTATATTTTCTATTGTATAAACAGTAATGAGAGAACAGACATCCAGAGACAGAACACACATTGACCACATATTCACAGATAGGTCTGATACTAGTGTGCATGATATGTTTGAAATTTTACAAACGCTTTAAAATATTCAAATGAAAAGTTAGACATCCAAACTTAGACCAGTGCCATTTAATTTATGTCATTAGGTTGGTAGGTAGGTAGGTAGGTAGGTAGGTAGGTCTAGGTTGCATTTATTTTTATTTTTTAAATCTTTATCTCACTATCTTTGGCTTTTTGAGATAAAAGCTGACATTAAAATTGAACAACTGAGGGTAGAACTCACAGCCATAACCGTTCACCTGCTGTTTAATTTGAATCCTTTTTAGTAGTTTTGACAAGCAGGCAATTATACAAAAAAAAATAACATAAGGTAACTTGGCAAAGTAAACATCCCCAAGCTAGGTCTGTAACCACTAAACTGATATTGTGACATTTAAATGCAGGTTGGATTAAACTACATACAATACAAGATTGATTACATTTGTTATCAAATTATTAGTATTAAGTAGGAATCAGGTGTATAATAAAGATGGCAAAATCCACATGAATTAGTGCACACTGCACAGATGAAAATTTGCTATGTAAAAGGAGTTCTTTTTACAGAAAAGCAAACAGTTACTCTACTAATTAGGGTTGACAGGGCAGATGATCAGAGGGGCAGAGTTTTTACCCCCATGATTAAGAGAGGGGCTGAAGAACGGGAAGAGTTTCTCAGTGAAGGAGCAGCCAGTAAAGGAGAAGATAAAACGGGCAGCATCAACGTCATAAAATGAGACCAAACCCTTGTCACTGTCTACAAACACCCCCACCTTCTCAGGCTGTGACTTCGGGAAGAGATGTATAGGATTTGCTGTGTCAGGATCAAGTGCCACATCCACTGCAGACTGCTGGACTGTCTTGGGCTCAGCCTTTGGGAACAGCTTCTCCATGTCATATTGAAGCGTTCCCAACAACTCACCAACAGCTGGCCTCACATAGCCCTCATGTGACAGAGGACGGACTCTGTGCTTCTTAAGCATAAACAGCTCCAGCTGTTTATCGTGCTTTGTACACAACCTGCCTTCCAGGTGCCTCACAGGGTCAATCAGCTGATGTCTTTTCAGACCTGTCGCTGTCAGATGAGGCTCCAGGTGAGTCTCACAGTAGGAAACCAGACACACAAGGCAGGACTTCAGGGCCTTCAGTTTAGTTCCAGTGCAGACGTCACAGGGAATTTCTCCTGGTTTGGCAGCTTGTTGCTCTGAGCTGCTGCTGGCTCTCTGTTGAGCTGACTGTCTAAAGTAATCAACCATCTCAGAGACAAAGGTATTGACCAGCAGCTCAGGTCTTGTGTTGAAAACCTTTTTACAAACAGGACATTTGCAAGGGACATTAATGTTCCAGTGTTCAGAGATGCAGTTTTTGCAGAAGTTGTGTCCACATGATGTGGTGACTGGATCAGTGAACACATCCAGACAGATGGAGCACAGAAACTGATCTTCAGATAGAAAACTGCTGGCAGCAGCCATGTCTCCACAATAAGAGCAGAAGTACAAGTGTGGCAAAAACAAAACTGTAATGACAGAATACTTAGTAACTTGTTTAAAAATATCAAACTATGATTTCTAGAATGTTAATTACAACAGTGTACATTCGTATTATGTTATATTATTTTATATCATATTATATTAAATTATATTGTATTATAGCTACATTCCACATAAGTGAAAATTCCATTTGACAACTTTCATTTTTAAATGTAAAAAGCATGACTGAGCACAGCTCAAGTGTTAATGCTGGTTGTTTAAACACAGTAGATATTATCTGCTGTACTCACCAGTGTTTGGCTCTGCTGTGTAGTTACAAAACACCGGGTGCACTTCCGTCAAGTTTCGCTGTTTAGCGACAAACAACAAGATGTGCCCACTGCAGCTTCTTACTCTGACAAACTTTCAGTTTCATTTGAGGACTTGTTGAAGCAGGCCTGTGTTGCTCCACCTCTTGGTTTTTCATCTAACTTTATTCATATAGCACATTTCATACTGTTTATTGCAGTTCAAAGCTGCCTACAAACCATTGACAAGATGATAAGACAGAATGGAGTAAAAATTAAATAAGGTAGATTTAAAAATAAAATGCAATGATAAAAATGACAATGTAATAGTGTAATGATAGTATTTAATAAAACTTACAGTAAAAACAAAATCAGTTAAGAAAGCTGGCAGAAATAAACAAATAAAACAATAAGAAGGGTATTTTAAATAAATGAGTAAAATATGGTAAATAATGTCTAAAAACCATTCCTTAGTTAAAGGCCGGTTGAAGAGGTAGGTCTTTACATTACATTTAATTTATTTTACATTTTATTAGAGTGACATACTTTTAGCACAAGATACATTTAATAGAGACCAAACTAGTTGTATACAGCCTCTTTGTTTCTAGCCAGCACGAACAATTCAGCCGTCAATCCAATGCAGTTAAATGGAATTCAGCCATCATTTACACCTGTGATTCTTCTATTTTAATATTCAACTTTCCCCCCATACTAAGAATAATAAGTTCTTACTGCACTTATGTCTATTACTTCTCATATTCCGGTTAACTACGTACACTAGATGTAAAATGTCAACTATCACAAAGGGCGATACTATACTGTACTATACTGTATTAAACTATACTCAGTGTGCAACACTGAGGGATGTCTTCCTTGTTTCTTTTCTATTTTCTGCCATTCCTTCACTGCTTTTGCAACCCTTCCTTCCTCATTTCTTCTTTCTCAGCTTCTCTCCAGAAGAAGTAAACTGATGTAGTGTAACAGTAATAGTCATCATGAATGTATGACTCCCTGTAGTGTAAAGTCATACTCTAAACTTCATTATCCATATTTCAAATCCTTTTTGTCCTTGCTTTATTTAATAATCTATTTACCTACATTTTAAAAATATATTATGATACTTTAGCTCACTCCATGTTTGTGGCTCTTTATTGTAATGTTTGTGTCTCTGTGGAGGTGGGTGGATTTTTTGATGTCTCTTTTGTTGTTTTATTAAAAGAAAATACAAAAAAATGAGTCTTACTTGTTTATTTCAGTATGAAAAGATTTTCAACATTGGCTTGAACCACCACATAGAGGTGCAATAATCCCACTTTTCCCACTCATAAATATTTTCTATTCTTCAAACATACTAGTCATGAAAGGCAAAGCACACATAGGACACACACAGAGACAGATTCATATGCTTGTTGCTCTGTTACTATCTTGCTGGTTCCAAGATGGTTTTGAAAACCAAAACATGCCAGAACAGAAAAAATACAGAAGCAGATCATGTGACCTTGTTTAAAAAGATAATGTGAGACTCCCTGTGCAACAACTGTAATACTAAAACACCTAATGAGCCCACACAATGTATAGATTGTGCAATATCATATTATTATTAACTGTAAAATATATAATTAAGCAGGTTGTATACTGTGCATAGCCGTTTATATGTGCATATACTGGACAAAAAAACACCTGCTGTATGTATATAAAATAACTCTGCAAAATGATATATTATCCAAACTATGCCTGTGAATTTGTAATCTAGAACACAGAAGAATAAACTTTTCTTCAGTATTTTTTCATGAAATACAACTTGTTGAATTTGCTTTCCAGACAGCTTTTCCAAATGATGATTTCTCGTAACATTTTTTGTGAAGTTTTGATATTTGAACACAAATATTGCTATTGGGATATAAATTAAACTACATTATATATACATGATTTTATTTTATCACATTTAAGTTAAATGTAGAAATCGGACACGTCAATCAAAAAAATATGATATAATAGAGGAGGCAAAATCAAGAAAAGACACTGTACATTACTACTATGATTTTTTACATTAAATCAGGTGTGACCAAATGAACCAGACACAAATTTTTGAGTTCTCCATAATCATCCTCTCATCAACATATACAATCACACACACACTTTTTCATCTTCTTGCCTGCACATAATGGGTATATGTTTATGTTATATATCGGTATATGAAGAGGACTACTCTGCACAGACAGAGATGGAAAACAAATGCAAACTCCTCTTCTTCAGATTGTTGGTCATTCTATTGTGGTCACTGGTCAACAGGGCAGATGATCAGTGGGGCAGAGTTTTTATCACAATGATTACAACAGGAGCAGAAGAATGGGAGGAGATTTTGAGTGAAGGAGCTGCCAGTAAAGGCATAGATACGATTTGCAGCATCAACATCATAAAAGGAGACCAGACCCCCCTCATAATCCACAAACACCCCCACTTTTTCCAGCTTCCACTTTAGAGGGAGACGAACTGGAGGCTCAGCGAGAGCACAGTACACATTCTCATTACTTAAACTGACAGTCCAGAAACCATTCTCTGGGCTAATTGTGACAAGGCCCTTCCTCTGTATTGACTGTCTGGCAACTCCTAAAATCCAATCAGTATTCCCTTTAACCTGAACCTCAAAGTAAAATCTTCCTGACGAACCTATCTGCTTCCCTAAGACACAGAGACCAGTAGAAAACCTCTCTGGATTATCTGGGAGATTCCTATTTTCATCACCCTGATGGACTTGTTTCCCATCTTCAGACAGGATTAGTTTTTTATGTGATGTATCAGGATCAAGCGTCACATCTACTGCAAACTTCTGGACTGCTTTGAGCTCATCCTTGGTGAACAGCTCCTTAATTTCTTTTTTGAGCATTCCCACCAAATGAGCAGCAGCTTTCCTAACATTCCCCTCATATGATGGAGAACGGACTCTGACCTTTGTCCAGTCTTTGGTTGGTGGAGCAGCATTCAGGGAGGGGAAGTTTTGGAGTAGGTTAAGGTGGTCTTCAGTGTGTGAGAGCTGTTTCATCTCAGCATTTTTCTGCTTAAGCTCAGAAATTTCCTGTTCCAGCTTTTTGATGAAGCCATCAGCCTGTTTCTCTGCTGTTTTGTGCTTTTCTTCAATTATCTCGGTGACTTTGACCTGGTTTCTCTCAATAGCCTCCTTCAGCTTAATGAAGACATGAACACTAACTGCTTTCTCTCTGTCTGCACTTTCCCTGCTGACCTCGACTGAATGTTGGAGCTCTTGAATCTTCAGTTGTCTCTCCTGGATCATCTGCTGAAGTTCAACCTCTGTTTTCCCAAGCTCTACCTTTTTTCCTTCATATTCTTCTTTAAGAGGAACAATATCATGTGCCTTGTGGTCTGAAATTGTGCAGAGCATGCAGACACATGTCTGGTCATCCTTGCAGAACAGCTCCAGCTGTTTATCGTGCTTTGTACACAACCTGCCTTCCAGGTGCCTCACAGGGTCAATCAGCTGATGTCTTTTCAGACCTGTCACTGTCAAATGAGGCTCCAGGTGAGTCTCACAGTAGGAAACCAGACACACAAGGCAGGACTTCAGGGCCTTCAGTTTAGTTCCAGTGCAGACGTCACAGGGAATTTCTCCTGGTTTGGCAGCTTGTTGCTCTGAGCTGCTGCTGGCTCTCTGTTGAGCTGTCTGTCTAAAGTAATCAACCATCACAGAGACAAAGGTATTGACCAGCAGCTCAGGTCTTGTGTAGTAAACCTTTTTACAAATGGGACACTCGGGAGCATTAATGTTCCAGTGTTTAGTGATGCAGGTTTTGCAGAAGTTGTGTCCACAAGGTGTGCTGACTGGATCAGTGAACACATCCAGACAGATGAAGCACGAAAACTGATCTTTAGATAGAAAACTCCTGGCAGCAGCCATGTCTACACAATAAAAACAGAAGTACAAGTCTGAAAAAGCTGTAATAACTGATTTTTTTATCATTTATTGAAAAATATCATATATATGATCTTTAGAATGTTAGAAGGCAATTCGGTATTATATATCTACATTTCACAATGTTTCATTTGACAAGTTTTGTTTTCAAATCACAAAATCAGCACCCCTTGACTGAGCACAGCTAAAGTATGAGTTAAAGGTCCGGTGTGTGGCATCTAACAGTATCTAGAACCAGGTTTTGATTTGTCTGTAGATTAAAAAATGTCTCATTCTAAGATAACAAAAACACAACAATTCTTATTTTCAGGTTATTATTCTCTAATGAAAAATACCTATCAATATTATATATACTATTTTATTTAGATCCTTCTTAACATTACACACTGGGCCTTTAATCCTGGTTAAAAATTGTAGATATTATCTGTACTTACCAGTGTTTGGCCGATATTCTGCTGTGTAGTTTGTGAGGAGTGTAAGAGTCTTGCTGTTTACAGAGAAACAACAAGATGTGTTTCAGTTTCATTTGTGGAGTCTGACGTTGAGGCTCACCTGTCTTTCCTCTGTTGCTCCGCCTCTTATTTATATTATGTTGGTGACCATTTAGGACATAAGGTGACGGTGGATGTCAGGTGTACAAGCCACAGGATTATCCTCAAACCCTCATGTGGTCTGGTCAAGGCTACAAAAACACTTTGGTAAAGGTTAGGAGAAGATCCTGGTTTTGGCTAAATATTTTATTAAAAACCAAACATGTCTTGTGCCACCACTGAAGTTTTCAACAATCTTTCCTGCACTTAAACAAGTGCTCTGAGTTGCCTAAACATTAACACAAAAAACGTGAGTCATGCATTAGTTGCCACAGGTTCATATTGTAGGAAACCTTACAACAGCTGTTCCTTTTCATGTTGATTAAAAATGTAATCGTGTGGCAGTATGCTTATTTAAAAATGTATTTGCTGTTGCAAATTGTATATAAACGTAATATTTAGGAGGTTTAGGAGGACACACAACTGTATACAAACTCTCCAGGTTAACATTCTCTTGTTCGAGCTGTTCTTGCTGCTTTTCTATCAATGCAACTTCAATATCTTGGAGCGGACAAAACAAGCAAATGGAGGACAACATCTTGGGTGATAATTGTCTCACATTTCATAAGCTGTGTTTTTAATGAGATTGTATACAGGTGGTTAATGAAGGTAATCCTTCGTTGCAGTCCTACAGAGGAATGTGCCTGAACAGACAACACCCCGAATGACTGGTTCTATCTGTTTCAAAGCGTCAATCCCTTATAATGAATCATAGTCTTGCATGTTTTCTTGCACTGCCTTATATCTGCTACCATCTGTGTTGAATTCCAATTTTTCTCCATTGAGTTTAACTGCTTGTTCCAAATGTGTTTTCCTGTCACACCAAAAAGAGGTACAGCAAATTTAATCAGTGCCTCTTTGTGATTTATGATTTGATAAATTGTCTTTAAAATAAGATTGCTTGACTAAAGAATTTTTGTAAATTTTTAATAAAATATAATATAGTAGGCCTATCACTCTGTCAAGTATACTGTGTCCTGCTTCAGTTGGTATATTGTATATAGACCTGCACTGAATTTTGGCTTTGATACTCTTGTGGAGGTTTGATGTCGTCATTAACTAATTATTATGTATATTATATCAGATTTGCTGACATACAGCAAGTAGGTCATTGCAGAGTCACAGTCAGTCCTCCTTTTGAGGCATGCAGTTTTAATGTTTGAAATTTTACAAACTCCTTAAAATGTTCAAATGAGAAGTTAAACATCAGCAATTTAATAAATGTCCCAAAACATTTGAAAAAACTTCATCATATTATTATCTACATTGGTGTTCTTTTTCAATGAAAACCGATGTTAAACTTGACACAAGCACAAACCCAAAGACATAACCGTTCACCTGCTGTTAAATCTTAATTTGAATAATTTTCATAAAATCACAAAGATGATGCTTGGACAAGTAGGTAAAAACAGAGGTCAAAAAGTATGCCAAACAACATAAGTTAATTCTGCAATATATACATAAGAAAAACATCAAAGCTTATACTGGAATCTAGTGTTTTGACATTTAAAGACAGCTATAGATTAAACTACATTATCAATTCCATTATTTGTTATCAAATCATTGTATTGCAGTAGTCAGTAGCAATGTAATGTATCATAAAGATGGTAAAATCCACATTAATTATAATGAATGAATGAATGAATGAAAAACTCTGTACCACTATATGGATATTTGCTACACTTACAAGAACTCTGTCTTTTCCAGAAAAGCAAACAGTTATTCTACTAAGTAGGGTTGACGGGACAGATGATCAGAGGGGCGGAGTTCTTACCACCCTGATTAAAACAGGGGTTGAAGAACGGGAGGACTTTTTCGGTGAAGGAGCAGCCGGTAAAGGCATGGATGAAATTTGCAGCATCCACATCATAGAAGGAGACCAGACCCTCCTCATAATCCACAAACACCCCCACCTTCTCAGGCTTCGACTTCAAAAAGAGACAGACTGGAGGGTCAGCGAGAGCACAGTACACATTATCATTCCTCAAACATACAGTCCAGCAACTGTTCTTAGAGTTAATAGTGATAAACCCCTTTCTGTTGATTGACTCTCTGGCAACTCCTACAACCCAATCAGTCTTCCCTTTAACCTGAACCTCAAAGTAAAATCTTCCTGAAGAATCAATCTGCTTTCCTAAGACACAGGTACAATGAGAAAATCTCTCTGGGTTATCTGGGAGATCCTTCTTTACAGCACTGTGATGGACTTGTTTACCATCTTCAGACAGGATGAGTTTGGGATTTGCTGTATCAGGATCAAGTGTTACATCCACTGCAGACTGCTGGACCGTCTTGAGCTCAGCCTTTGGGAATAGCTTCTCCATCTCATGTTTAAGTATCTCCAACATCTTAACAACAGCTGTTCTCACATTCCCCTCATATGAAGGTAGACAGATTCTGCTCTCTTTCCAGTCTTTGGTTTGTGGAGCAGCATTCAGGGAGGGGAAGTTTTGGAGGAGGTTAAGGTGGTCTTCAGAGTGTAAGCGCTGCTTCAGCTCAGCACTTCTCTTCTTCAGAGCAGAGATTTCCTGTTCCAGCTCCTTGATGAGGCCATCAGCCTGTTTCTTTGTTGTTTTGTGCTTCTCTTCAATCATCTCAGAGACTTTGACCTGGTTTCTCTCAATAGCCTCCTTCAGCTTGGTGAAGACATGAACACTAACTGCTTTCTCTCTGTCTGCACTTTCCCTGCTGACCTCGACTGAATGTTGGATCTCTTGAATCTTCAGTTGTCTCTCCTGGATCATCTGCTGAAGTTCAACCTCTGTCTTCCCAAGCTCTACCTTTTTTCCTTCATATTCTTCTTTAAGAGGAACAATATCATGTGCCTTGTGGTCTGAAATTGTGCAGAGCATGCAGACACATGTCTGGTCATCCTTGCAGAACAGCTCCAGCTGTTTATCGTGCTTTGTACACAACCTGCCTTCCAGGTGCCTCACAGGGTCAATCAGCTGATGTCTTTTCAGACCTGTCGCTGTCAGATGAGGCTCCAGGTGAGTCTCACAGTAGGAAACCAGACACACAAGGCAGGACTTCAGGGCCTTCAGTTTAGTTCCAGTGCAGACGTCACAGGGAATTTCTCCTGGTTTGGCAGCTTGTTGCTCTGAGCTGCTGCTGGCTCTCTGTTGAGCTGACTGTCTAAAGTGAACAACCATCTCAGAGACAAAGGTATTGACCAGCAGCTCAGGTCTTTTGTTGAAAACCTTTTTACAAATGGGACACTCAGGAGCATTAATGTTCCAGTGTTTAGTGATGCAATTTTTGCAGAAGTTGTGTCCACATGGTGTGCTGACTGGATCAGTGAACACATCCAGACAGATGGAACACAAAAACTGATCTTCAGATAGCAAACTGCTGGCAGCAGCCATGTCTGCACAATAAGAATACAATGAAAGGAAAAGCAAAACTGTAATTACAGAATACTTTTAAAAAATTGGATTAAAAATATCAAACTATGATTTCTAGAATGTTAATTACAAGATTGAAAATTGTATTATATTATATTGTATTATAGCTACATTCAACATTAGTGAAATGTCATTTGACAGTTTTCATTTTTGAGTGACAAAAGCATGACTGAGCACAGCTCAAGTGTTAATGCTGGTTGTTTAAACACAGTAGATATTATCTGCTGTACTCACCAGTGTTTGGCTCGGCTGTGTAGTTACAAAACACCGGGTGCACTTCCGACTTCCGTGTGGAAAAAGCAAAATTACATGTTTAAAAATGTCTCTATTTCTATAACTATAATTACTAGAATGTTATGGAGGCACACTGTGAACGTTTCATTTTCACATGACAAAAGCAGCACACCCTGTCTGAGCAGAGCTCAAGTATGTGTTAATGCTGGTTGTTTAAATACAATGTATTATTCACTGGACTCACCTGCGTTCGGCAGGGGCTCTGTTTTGTAGTTAAGAAAGACCCGGTGAACTGGAAGTTTTGCTGTTTACCAAGAACTAACAAGATGTGTCTCTTCTTACTCTGACAGACTTTTAGTTTCTGTTTAGGAGTCTGACGGTAAAATTCACTTGTGTTGCTGTTGCTCCGCCTCTTGTTTTTCAGGTTCATTATAGTGACATACAAGTAGTTATATACAGCCGGATACGTTACTGGGTATGTTTTTATGTCCTGTTTTGAAATGGAAATCTATAATTTACAAATACACAACACAAGAGATCATTCTAAGACTCCCAAGAGCACAGAGTATTTTTTGGTAATTAGGTCTTTTTCCACAACAGACATTTTTACTTGTCATAGTAAGAAAATGCACAGGTGTAATTAATAGCATTAATGATGGCTCTATTTTATTCAAGTGTCGCAGTAAGCCATGAAAGTAAGCCAACATGAAAAATAGGTTACAGCTACATGTCATTTCATTCATTTTTATTATTTAATTAACAAAAGTACTAATTCCACCTACATTTCTACGCTGCATTATAACGTCTGCTGTGCACTGGTTGCACACTTTCAACTATTACAAGGAAGGATATTGTTCTATACTCAGTACTTATTGTGCTACACTGTGTGATGTCTTTCTTGTTTCATTTCTACTTTCTGCCATTCATCCATTCACTGCTTTGTGACCACTTACCTGCCTGTACTGCTTCCCTCCTGTATATCTCACCCCTTAATGCAGGTTTGAACATTTTGTTTGTTTGTTTTGTTGCTGCCTTGACTGAGGATTAGTTACTGCATTTTCTATTTAGATGCACAGCAGGTCTATGTAATTTTAATGATGGTTTTAATGATTGTAAGAGTTTGGGGAACACAACGCACTTTATATGATGCATTTGCTGTTTTATATTCAAACAGTGCATCAAAACAAAAGAGAAAACTGTAGGGAACTGAAAACCTTTTCATTAACCTGTTAACTTAATTTCCTCCTCAATGGATTCGAGTGGCCCTGGGGTCCACTCAGCCGCCACTTAACAAGAGCTACAAATGAGCTACCACACACACACACACACACACACACACACACACACACACACACACACACACACACACACACACACACACACTTTGGCCAGCACTTACCATGCAAATGACATACAACTACCCTACACACTCATCTCACTCAGTGACCGTCTCACTCACTTACTCACTCTCAGCTGGTCAGCTCTTAATGAAAATCACTATCACACACACATCTGTTCAAAACAGCAACTTGTTAGGCTAGGAATGACACACACACACACACACACACACACACACACACACACACACACACACACACACACACACACACACACACACTCTACCTGCAAATAATCATACAGTGCCACAGTAATAATGTATGAGGAAGAAAATGCTCCCTCTCCCAGTAGAGAAAGGGTTATTAGTGTTTTTAATGAATTGGTCTTTCTGCAGCCTGAGGAGGTGCTTGAGTGCTTCTGATATATATATATACTGAGAGAGGAGGAGGAAGAGGAAGAGCAGGAGGCGGAGGAGGACGAGGAGGAAGAACAGGAGGCTGGGAAGGTCATGCAGGGAAAGAACAGAGATAAAGATAAGCCAGGGAGTGAGGGTGAAGAGGAACAAAGAGGAAGAGGCTGAGAGACAAGAGTGAGGGATGAAGGGAAGAAAAATGAGAGGGAATAATGAAAGAAAGAGAAATAAAGGTAAAATGAAAGAAGGTAAGAAACAAAGAAAAAGGTGAGAGAGGCAGGGGTTAGGAAAGAAAGCGGGGAGAGAAAGATCAAAAGTCAAAGGATGAAAAAAAGGGGGAGATTACATGAAGAGAAAAGTTAAAGAGAGATAAAGAAAGATAGATAGAAGGACAGACAAAGACAAAAAGGTGAAAGGGAGGTTGAGAGAAGGTGTGGAAGAGAGAGGACATTGTATGATTGGCAGACAGACAATGGACAAGGAGACAAAAATAGAAATCTAGAGCGATTGGATTGATGTTTTTTCTACATGCACACATGCCAGGCTGCCACCCATCCACACACAAATAAACTGATCTGAACTCATTTTAAATTGAGATTAATTCGCCAGAAAGTGAGACAAGGACAAGAAAAACACCTACTTCTTAATGTTGACAGAGGGTGCAGTGTTGTCTTTCCACCACTGGATGGCGCTGACTGACCATCCCTGCTCTCTCACTGTGGGGTCGTCCAGGTCAACTGCCTCCCTGCTCATCCTCACATAGAAGCACATAGCGCATATGACTTATCCTTTATGAATAATGAATTAGATATCACTTTTACTGATATCATGCGGTGCAATTTGTCACTGCTTATCTGTTAGTTGAGGACAAAGTGGTTAAAAAATGTGAAATAGTTCATCAGGGACACAGGCTCAACAGTGTGACCCCAGACTAATGTTTTATACTGTTACATCTGCCACAAGTACAAAACTGTAGTTACAATTACTACTCATGCTGCTGCTTTTGCTGTTACTGAAGGGCCTGCCCCAAGCCTCTTTAGGGCCCTTCAGAGCAGGATTTGCCAACCCCAACCTACCAACCTAAACTTGTAAATGGGTCCAGTCACTTCAGTTTTTTGGCAATTTAAAATTACCAAAACTGCTGCTGCTACTCAGGGGCGTTTCCAGACTCTCTGACTGGGGTGGCACAAGAGGGACACTGACTAATGCAGTGTTGGCATGGACCCCAGTATGCAGAAATAGTCAAATACAACCCATTTCATTCAGAGGTCAAGCCATGTCAGTTTTTCCATCCCCAAACTTTAGCCTAATTTTGGAGTATTGTTAAGCCCTGTTCCCGACATGCTAGCACCAATGGATGCGTTAGCCAGTATGTTCACTCTAACTTTAAAACTGAGCCCACTACAACCTCTGAAAGAACTCCTTAGATTTCAGAAAGTCTTTTGCACTTTGGTAGTTGTAAATTCTCACTTTATGTTTTTATGTACAGTCTTGTGAGCTAAGGAGTCTAAAAAGCTCCTTGGATCTGCAGACTTTGTGATCATTCTTTGTTGCTGTTGTCATTTGATTCATTGTTGAACTAAAAATTAGGATTAGTGGAGCTATAAGGTCCACTTCAACCTTCAGCCTCCCTCTCACCCCCCTCCCCATGAATATTTCTCTAAATCTGCCCCGGCTCACAGGTATTCAGTATTGAGTTCTACACTCTACCTGTTATTTTGAGCTTTTCACTCGTGCTTAAATATCATATTAACCCCTTTATCTTCAACACTTTGTTCATGTACATTTCTATATATTATTGTTATGTGGCCTCTGTCCAGTAGACATCCATTATAAATCTATAGATTATTCCCTCAACTGCACCATGAGTTATCAGATATAAAATGTCTTATGACAAACCAAACATTTTCATAACTAAACTCAAGAATAAATAAACATAAATTCATCAGTGTGGCCTTATATTTGGCTACAATAAACATCTGTAATTACTTGAACTACATCATCTATCCTGTGTGCTAATTGTGATAAAACACCCATTTATCCAATTTCCCCTGAATGTGGCACAAAGACTATATATTTTTGTGTTATTTTGTTCTCCTTCCTCTGAAATATAAAAACATAATGTACCCTGTGAAGTGAGCTGTTTATCACTGCTTGCTAATTAAGAGACCGCTGTGCCATCATTAAAAAATAAAAACATAAATACTGTGATATAACAGTCACTGAGCCTCCTGGAATCCACATTACCATAGTAACAAAACATAACGTGTTTTAATATTTGGACAGGGTTGAAAATGTAATTACAGGCCTACATAATCATTAAATAATATCGGTGTAGAGTTGACTCTTGGCCCATTGGAGAAACATCTTGGCTTCTTAATGATGAAATAAGTGACTCTTTCCTCCATTGTTGTTGTCTCAAAGAGGAGAGATTGATTCTCTGATTCATTCTCTGGGATACAAAAACCCTTAATGTAGCCTTTCACACTCCCTCCTCCTCCTCCTCCTCGCCTCTCTATCTTCAACATAACACCTCACTCTCATGTTCCAGGTTAACTTAATTACAGAGAATAATCCGCTCCTCCCCGGCTCCTCACATGTGAGCAGCCGAGGCCATTTCTGTGTCGCTGCCTGATACTGGACGTCCTGCCTGTAACCTGTTATGTTTTCACTTGAGCTGAAGGTTGAAGTGGCCCTTAAAGCTCCACTAATCCTTATTTTTATTTTAATAGTGAATCAAATGATTACAGCAACAAGGAATTATCCCCAACTCTGCTGCAGCTCCAAGGAAACTTTTTAAGCTCCTTAGCTCACAGTTGTGGCACAAGACTGTGTACATAAAAACATAAGGTGAGAATTTACAACTCCCAAAGTGCAACCTACAAGATTGTTATGAAAATCTGAGGAGTTCTGTGTTTCTGCTGTATGTTAATTAACGTCATAGATATCATAAGCAGGGGCGTTTCCAGAAGGGGAGCCTGGGCTGAAATCTTATTAGCCACCCCATTATCCTTCCCTCTTCCACACCGCAATGTGTTTCAGAGGCTGTAGCGGGCTCTGTATTAAAGCTAGAGTGAATATACTGGTATCATATTAAACTACATGGCCTAGCGCATCCATTGGTACCAACCATGTCACGCTTGCAAATTGGAAAGGTGGAGTAGCCACACCACCAACACAACAGTAAACAGTAGTGAATGGTGCATTTTGTTTTTTCTGGAAAGTTTGGTTAAAATTTGAGCCGAATGTGAATGGCATACCAGCACCCTGTTTTAGTATTTACACCTGTGCCTTTCGTTCTGTCACATGTCATATTATATGTATATATGCATATGTATATTTCAGTCAGAAAACTCATGAGATTTGTTGCAGCAGTACAACATAGTTGGAGTTTGGCATCCAGACTCTGACATCATCACTCCCTGCAGATTTGTTGAGATGTATTGAGGAGTGAGTGAATATGTTAAATCCAGAAGTAAGACCCTGCAGGTGGAGGCTGGGGTGGAGGTGGGGCTTACAAAACAGGCTGCAATACTGCAGCTTAAATAGACTGCCTAATTAGGAGGGTGTGTTTGGTTTGTGATTATGGAGAGTGAGGCATGTCACAGCAGTTAACTCCCTG